GATATCATCAAAAGAGTCTCAAAGGAGTACCAAAGTGCAATGATGACAATTTAGTGAGCATGTAGAGGTCATGATTTGAAATGAGTCAACCTATAACTTTTAATTGTTTATTTTATTTATCGAGTTTTTTGAATTGGGCCCATACTTTTGTAAATGATTATGGTTCATACTTTGTATAAACATTTTAAAAGTGAGTACGATTCTAAAAGAAAAAAGGGTTAGTGACTTCGAAGATCCCTTGTGATACTCGAATCTTGGGATTTGGGTGTTACACTTGAAATATGAGCATATGCCATCTGAATCTAAATGTTTGTGGTCGTGTGACAACAAGCTCATTGTATATGTATGTTGGCCAATGAACCTTGTGAGTTCCCACAACATCTTCTATTGTAAGTATGAAACTCGCATTCTCTACTTAAACCTGACATCATGGCTTATTCACCTAATGAAATATGTTTTCTAATCAGATTCTGGGACATAGAATTGGAGATGGGCTTTGATGTAGTACTCCTTATTTCCTAGTTGTTCACCCTTTTTAGTTTCAAATTAAGACTCAAACGACAACTTCGTTGATTCTTCGCCGAAAGTACCCTAATGGGTAGCACATATCTTTGAAATACCATGAACTTTAGGATTCTCTATAGCATCATAATTAATGTCATGTATTGCATCTGGATGATGATACCGAGGCAAATTATTTTAATATATTTAGGGTTAAGGGTATGTTAATGGATGGGCCCAGCCCTTGGAGCATTTAACAATCCAGGACCTCGTGAAACCTTACCTCCTATACATCACCCTTTATATGCAAACTGTGTCCCTTTGAAGTAGCCTCAATGATATCAAAAACATCAAGTATTAGTGCGTGTCATCTTCTATCATTGGAATAAGGGTTTCATCATCCTCATTAAACTTAGCAAGGCTTTCACTAAATCGCCTAACAAGGTTATCATCTACACCATTTTCATTTGGTATAGATGTTCCTAGTTCTTCTATTGCATGTGCAACTATTGTTGAGGTAGGAACATATGATACAGTTTCCATTTCAACATAAATCTCAGTCATTTGATTATTTGATGATTGATGTAATCCAACCATAACAACAATATCGTCATCATCATGAAGTTGTATTGCTCCATATGTGAATGGAATTGATGAAATCCTCTGAATGCATTTGTCTTTCAAATTTATTCTTCATTTGGCGATGAGAGACATTTAAAGTGAACATCACGATTACGGGCCTATGTGACTTAACCACAACACCTTTATCAGTTTGTAGAATTTCATCATTGAAATGGACAACTGTGAAGAATTTGTTTCTCATTGTTTGAAAGAATTTTTTTTGTAGATTTAAGGAAGTTGTAAAAAGTATATGTTTTTTCAAAGAACATAAGTCAATTTAAAAGTCTCTATCATAATATTTAAAAATGACAGAGAATATTAACTATTCATGTCCTTTTTCTATTCAGTGATATATCACCTCATATCAAAACTTGTTTAATTATAAATGAAAATCATATATGGTACAATAATAATTTAAAATGATGCAGAATCTTAACTATTTATATTATTTTCCTTTTTAGTGATATATCACCTCATTTCAAAACTTGTTTAATTATAAATGGTAAATTATAACTATTCATGTACAATAATAGTTTAAAATGATAGAGAATCTTAACTATTCAAGTCCTTTTTCTTTTTGGTGATATAACACCTTATATCTGAACTTGTTTAATTATGAATGAAAAATCATGTATGGTACAATAATAATTTAAAATAACAGATAACCTTAGTTATCGCATCATTTTTCTTTTTATTGATATCACCTAATATTAGAACTTGTTAAATTATGAATGAAAAATCATATTCGGTACAATAATAATTTAAAATGACAAAGAATCTTACATATCCATGTTTTTTTTTCTTTTTAGTGATATATCTCCTCATATAGAACTTGTTTAATTATGAATGAAAAATCATATTTGGTATAATACTAATTTAAAATGACATAGAATCTTAATTATTCACCCAATATCAATTTTTTAATTATTGTTATATAACTCGTCATTTTGTCATTACAAGTTTATACCCCTTATGCCTATATAGTATGCTTATATGAGAAACACAAAACATCTCAAAACATATCTTTACCCAAAATATCATTGTTCAAGTTCCTATTTTAAGTTTTTCATGGCAAAAATCTCAACAACAATTTATTGTGAGAGGAAACCTTTTACTATCTCCTTCAACGGAGACATTCCACTTTTCGACTTGTTAATGAAAATTCCAAACAAGGTTGGAGCTAGTCAAGATTCAACATTATCTTTATTGCAGTTCAGGTTTCCCACTTCTTTGGTTCCGTAGCATTCATCAATGAGCTATCTGAACAATGATTTTGTAGTTCGAACAATAATTGACACATACATTACCAGTTCGATGAGTAATGTTACCCTATTTATCGATTATCATAAGTAAGTCGCAACTCCATCCAAATCAAACACAAAATCTGAAGACACATATGAACTTCAAGAACTTGAACTATTTATATATAAAATGAAATAAGAGAAAGAATGGAGGATTGAAGAACTAAACTTAACATCTGACGAGTCAACTAACTATGAAAATTAGGATGTGAAGGTAATAATTTAATGCTTCTAATGTAATGTAATGTAATGTAACGTATTACTTAATGTAATGTAACGTATTAGTTAATGTAATGTAATGTATGAGTTAATACTTGTTTGATTCTAAAAAATTTTTATATTGTCTCTTTTTTGAAAAATTTTAAGTAATACTTCCACATGATTTTCTTTAATTTTTTTCCAAAATCCGAATCTTAAACGATCATTTTTTTAAAAATAGTCGTTAAAACTCCTCACTTCGACATGACGAGTTTCTTTGAATTTTTCTTCAAAATTCGAATCTCAAACGGTCATTAACGCTTCTTTTAAAAAAAATAGTCATCGAAACTTTTTTTAAAAATAATTTAAATTATTTACACAATAATTTATTACAAACAAATAATTAAAATTCTTTAAACTAAATACAATTAATAATAATAAAACTATTTACCTATATTTCTGTAATTCTTGACGATGTCAAGTGTGGTCGAATAATAATAATGTGGGGCTCGTCAATTTCTTTGTGATCGTTTGCCTTGATAGTCTTTCAATAATTTTACAAAATAGTTATATTTGATAGCCTTAATTACCTAAGTTTAGTTTGAACTTAAGCATATTTATAAGAATTTTAGGATTAAATTTACATGATTTTGCATAATTTGCATATTATGAGCATAGTGGGTTGCTAAGGGCTAAACTTGAATTTTTTGTTGCTGCAAACTATTGGAAGAATCTTCATACGGTTGCTGATCGGATGTTGTAACAATCGTCTAAGCTCCAGACGGTTGGAAGAATCTTCTATAATTGCACAGTTGGCGGTGGTAGCTGTCATGTGGCTGGATAACACCTGAAGCATGGATTCATCCTATTGGGCGATGAGATTTTCATTCAAGCTATAAAAGGGGAGTACTTGGGTGAAAAAGGATGATTGAGAGAGATCCAAAGTATCAATTCCACGTTATTTCTTTTCAAACCATGGACGCCTAAATCCTTTGCCAGAGATTGTTGTAGCATAAAGAAAGCTTGCTGAGGAGCTTCGGCATTCAGCGTATCACATTCAACACCTTCTATTGAGAGAGGGAGTGACTTGAACAATTAATTGTTGGATGTTTATTATGAACTTTGTATTTTATGTTTATTTGGGTATTTAGTTTGTGAGCTTTGAACTTCATGATTATGAGTAGAAATATTTGCAATTAAATATATAGTATTTTTTTAAATATAGAAATACTTTTATTCGAATTGCTATGTAGATTTTCAAGTTGTGGCGTTGTTGAGTAGCATAGGCACATTAAAAAGTGTGCAACCATACATTAGTGTTGTTAATAGTTTGATCCTTTAATTAATGAAAATTATTAAAATAGTTCAAATGGATTTAATCAATGTTAATTACATATATTAAGTATTTTATGTTTGCATAAAATTTGGAGGCCACAATATCATATCCTTTGATTCGATAGCTGACCAATTGCTTCTAGAATGTTGTAGCATGAACTGGTGCTCTTTGTTATAGATTTTATTACTTTTTCTATATCCTCTCATTTCTTTAATGTTGTTTACTGTTACCACTCTAATGAAACAAACTTCTCCATGTGAGTTTGGCATCTGAAACTCTTGTGGTTTTCACTTTATTACTTGATTTGCAATATGTGCACTTGTGTGATTGCTATACCATTTTCGTAGCATTAAATTTTTGGCGCCGTTACCGACGAGCATTGATTTTATTTTAGATTTTATTTACTTATTGGTTTCTTTTCTTTTTTTTTAGGTACTTATCTTTATTAGTTTTGTTGGTTTATGATCTATAGGGACAACGAGCTCGTGTCTTTCGATCTGGAGATAGAACAAACATTCTGACGCCGTCGAAGAGAAGTTGCTAGAAATCATGCAAACATGAATTTTGGAAACAATAACAATAATAATGCTCTACCCCTGCTTTAGAATGGAGAAAATGATGAGTTGCCAGCTGGAATCAAAGTTGGGCAACCAAATCAGAATGTAGATGATTGTAATCACATTATTCGTGAGCAAGTGGTGCCGACATTGGACGATTTGCATCCGGGCGTTGTGAGACTAGTTATTAATGCTGTAAAATTTAAACTAAAGTTGGTTATGTTCCAAATGCTATAATCTATGAGACAATATGGAGGTTATACTACTAAAGATCCTAGAGCCCATTTGAGAGCTTTAATTGAGGTTTACGATTCTTTTATTCAAAAAGGTATTCCAGAGGAGGCCCTGAAGTTGAAGCTATTTCCCTATTCATTGCCTGGTAAAACAAGGGTTTGGTTAAGTTCACTGCCGCCTGGTGCTATAGCATCTTGGAATGAATAAGCACAGAAGTTCTTGTTGCGACTCAACCCTCCAAATATGAATGCTAAGCTTCAAAACAATTTAACTTCATTCAAGTAGAAGGATGATGAAAGCTTGTATGAAGCATGTGAAAATTTTAAAGATTTGTTGTGGAAATGTCCTATGCATGGTTTCCCACATTGGACTCAAATAGAGATATTTTACAATGGGTTAAATATACACACTCGTATGGTGGTTGATGCCTCAGTAAATGGAGCTTTTATTGATAAAACATACAATGAAGCATATGATATCCTCGAGAGAATATCCACCAACGACTGTCAATATCCAAAAACGTACAATATGTTTGTTCTACGTGGTGCTGCTGCGGTATACTCGGAAGCTTTCAACTCTATGGTTTCTCAAATTTTAGCATTGACTGAAATGGTGAAAAAATTACACAAACCAGGATGAATGTATGAAGTTAAAAGTCGTATCTCTTGTCACTTGTGTATATTATGGTGATGACCATAATTTGATGAATACCCCCAAAATTCAGAGTCTATCTATTATGTGCAGAATTATCAAAGAAATGATAACACGTTTTGCAACACGTACAACCTAAATTTCAGAAATCATCTTAAACTCTCTTGGAGAAGTTAGAATGTCGCCAATCCATAACATCAATAATATCAATACACTCAGTCGTAGCAGCAGACACAATAATTTGTTGCTCAGCCGCAACAAAGGCAGAATTATCAAGGTCAATCTTCGAATCAATCTTCCACCTTGAAACCTTTTCGAATCAATATTCCTCATTAAGGGTGTCGAGACGTTTCTCTTACCTGGCGACGGAGAGTGTAAATAGTATACCCCAAACGGTATAACTAGTCTCAAAAAAATAAGTGCTTATCTTCCATGAATCAGATAAAACACCAAATTGTAGAGTCACCACCAATCTTTTATTAGGTGAGATTGGTCACCAAAATGTCATATTATTTTAATAAAAATTCCTAAGAATAATAATAAAATAATATAACTCGGGTATGCTTTACCAGAAAAATGAGTTCGGGAGTAGGTTACGTATGGAAAAGAATTAGCATTCCCACAACGCCCAAAATTAGTACCGGTATTTATTAATTAAATGTCTTTGCAATAAATGATAGATTTGTATTTAATTTTATACAAATCAATATAATAATAGGAATACCATTTCACACCAATAATCATTTAAAATACCTTCTTAATTAAATAAGAAGATATTTAATAATCTATTGTATGAAATAATATAACTTAAATATACATATATATAAAATAATGATTAAAAATATAAGATATCAAAATTCTAGGTTACTAGTGCAAAGATTATATATTTTAGGTACTAAAATATAAATATCCTATAATAATATTAAATATTAAAATTATATTATAAAATATAGTGGTTAAATAATAAAACTATAGTCTATAATTCAAAATATTATAAACTACATATATTAATCAAATATATTAATACAGGATTAAAATGTAAATAATTGAAAATAATAAGGACTAAATTTATAATTTTACCCTAAATATAAACATACGGTCAATGACTAAAATATAAATAAAAAATTTAAATGCCAAATTGAAATACATAAAAACCTGATTGAGTGACCAAATTACAAATCTTACAACATTGCAAGGACCACTGGTATGATTTACCCATGTTAAAATTACACTACAGCCCATCTCCAAAACGACGTAGTTTTGGGGAGGGTATAAATATACCCCAACCGGCCCTTTAAGGGCATTTCTCACCATTTCTCTCATTTTTCTTCTCTCTCTAAATATGAGAGAAATAATTTTCTCTTCCCTCTCTCTAAACTTCCTCCATCAAAGAGTAGTCGGTCAGCAACCGAAAATCATAGACCACCACCAGTAGCCACCGTTCACAGTGGCCGAAAAATATAAAATTACACCAAAATCCTCGTCGGTTTTCTCTTAACTTGAATCCGGTCTCCCCTTTTGCTAAAACCCAACAAATCTTCCTAGATCTAAAAGAGTACCTTCGAACAAAATATTTTCCGACGACTCTTTCGGGCTCCCACGACGCAACAAGGTATGCTTATTCTCTTTCTCTTCTGTTTTCGGTGCTTGGTTGCTCTAGGCTTTCGTTGCTTTTGTTTCAATTTTCTCTCTTGTTGTGTTGTTTACTTGCAGGGGTGGGGTTTATATAGCCCCTGAAAATCATCTGTAATTATGAGGAGATACGGTGAGTCCCTGGTCCTATGGTGGTGACTTACCATAGAGTGTTGTGTTGTGTTGTGCGGTTCTCATTCACCTTCTGGAACCTTCTAGAGTGCTCTGGTGAGATCTGAAAAGGCGGTGATTATCGTGGCAACGCCTGGTTGGAGCGATAGAGGCGGTGGCCGGAATAGACCCTAGGGTGATGATACCTTAGGGTTTCTGAAATCATCTAGAGTAATCTGGTGCGTTGATTTACAGCTGGATCAGACGGTAATGGAACGACGATTGGAGAAACATACTGGAAACCCTAGTTGTTAGCCTCGAGTTCTTTGGGCCTGCTAGATCTGTTGGGCCTTGATGGTTTTGGGTTTGGTCAAAATCGGGTTTCGGGCTTGGTTATATCTGGGCCTGAATTTATTTATAAATGGGTCTGTGTGCCTTTGTAATCAGGCTCTCCAAATTATCAACTGGGCCTCCATACTTGTAAATGGGCTTTCGGGCTATATAATATAATTATTATATAATAACATATATAATAAACGCCACTCGGTCAAAAACTAGTGTCGACAGCTGCCCCTCTTTGCTTTTTTTGTGTAAACAAGAATAAAACAAAGATAAAAAAGACAAGTTTTCGTCAAGTGAACTTCTTGCTTTGCTGGGAATTCGTTCCACTACTCTTACGTGGAGAGCGAATTTTGATCTGATCTTGCTCTTGCTTCACTACTCTTCTGTGAAGGCTGAGGAAGACTTGCAAATGATTTGCTTCACTACTATTTCGTGAAAATTTTATACTTTGCTGAAAAATCTGTTCCACTACTCTTTCGTGGAGTTCAGATTTGCTTTTACTTCACTACTATTCCGTGAAGATTTCATACATTGCTAAAAAAACCGTTCCACTACTCTTTCATGGAGTTCAGATTTGCTTTTGTTCTTGCTTGAGATATTTTCAAAATTTTCATTTTCTTGAAATTGAATGAGAAACTTTGAAATTCATTTTCTCATTCTTCGAACAACTTGTTGGTTGGGCATGTCCCAATACTTCTTCTTTATGGATTGCGTTTATCTCTTTTTCAGATGTTTGCCTCTCCAAACATGTTTCATGTATTCAGGATTTTACCTTATACTCGTAAGGTATTTTGTCTTTGCATTTTCATGTGAGAAATGAATTTATGCAAATGCAATCAAATGTATCAATGAAATGCATGATCTTTATACAAATGATGTTCTTATGAATGCATGAATACATCAATCTTCATTTGACTCTGAAGTTTTGATCTTCTTCTACTTGATCAACCCTTTCAAGGCTTTTTCAAATATCAGTGTAGCAACTTATGCTATCAAACTTGCATTTCTAAAAAACCATCTGGTTAACTTGTATATTCATGTCTTCTTTTTCCTTCAGAAGAACTGTTTCATTTATGGAACTTTTGCCATACTTAGGATTATGACCTTGTTGCCCCACTTCTCTTTGATAAAACCAGTTGTTTTTTTTATCTGAACTTGTGTAGACATCTGGTAAAGCTTTCATCTTTGAAAAGAGAATCTATCATCTTTGCAGAATGTAGATATAACTATGCCAAACTCGTTAGAAATTTAATCAAGATATCAACCGTATATGTTCTGATTTGACTCTTGAAACATATCACGAAAAGGATTTATCCTAATTCCTTTCATATCTCCTCATCTAATCAGATCTATTTCATAAAAGGATTTATTCTAATTCCTTTCATGTCTCCACATCTAATCAAATCTCGAACAAGGTTCTTCAAACCATATCATGTCAAGATGCTTAACAATAACCCATCGTTCAATTTTAGTTGGCTCCACTAGTTTCTTGTTGTTGAAGTTCCAATGTACCTTTGTAGAAAGAAATCCTCATCATTTATCATCTCTAACTCTTGGATATTGAAGACAAACCTTATCTTATGTCAAACACATGATTGCAACATTGGTTCAGCAACATAATTACTGGTTCGTAAAACATTTGACAACTCATTCATCTATTCATGTGATTTCTGCCTAGATTTCTGAACCAATGCCTTCTTTATATGATATTCGAAGATTTTATATGATGTCACAATGATACTTCAGTAAAAATACAAATGGGATGCTTTAACTTGTTAGCATCATTTCAAGGAACATTTGACAACACATTCTCCTTTCTTGTGGCTTCTGTGGGGATGATGTGATCGTATGATGGACAAGCAGTGATATATGATCAACTCTACTGTTATTGTTTCACCATTTTCATTCTTCATACCTTTTTGTCTCAGGGAAATATTTGCTCCACTTGATGACTTTTCCATAGGATGATAAGGGTCCAGCATGCTCTAGCATTTTGGTAATACAAATACTACTGATGTGATTGTTTAAAATATCCTACTTGGATCATTTTTGTCTAAAATGGGCCTTCAGCATGCCCCACATTTTATTTCTGACTGGAATGGGCCTTCAGTATGCCCCAACCTTTGCTGAGTCGTAAGGTTCACTTTTAAAGTTTATTTGATCTGAATCTCATGCTTCTCACAAGGTCCAACTTTAACATTTCCCCATCGTGGATATTCATAGTTCTCTTGGTGTCAAATCTCTTGATCTTGAATGCTCTCATTCCTCTTTTAAATGAGGCAATCATCTTTTCTTGACAGGTTGTCACAAAGGAATGTTATAGGTCCAATTCTTCAGATATTTGATTTCTCAGGCCACTTGCTTTCAATAATGTGAAATGTTTCATCATTCTGGCCTTGCTCATTTTTTCAATGAAGGTATGATCAACTTGACTCAATGTTCTTCCTTATTTGAGACCATCCTGTTTAAAAATGTTCGTCTTCCTTTCTTATCAAAGAATGAAAGAATTTTTGTAAAATATTGTCCCTTACAGGTTCACAATAAAATCAAATCATAAGCATGATTTCAAAGAATATCGAAAAAATCAATAACTTTTACTATTTCAGAGTTATAGTTCTTTGAT